GCTGGTCTTGAACTCACTATGTAGCCCAGGCTGGCCTCAAACTCACAATGATCCTCCTGCCTCAGCCTCCCAAGTGCTGGGATTACAGGCATGCACCACCATCCCCGGCTTGAAATGTAGTTATTATAGTATAAAAGAAGCAACATTAGGGCTAGTTGAGATTGTAAGCACTTACTAGAACTAATTTATTAACATACATCCTTACAACTGCATGAACCTCAGCAGGTGTTATCAATCATAGAGAAAAACAGGTGAGTGCTATCAAACCATTTTAGCTTATCTCGGCTCCCTTTGGGGCCAAACAGAAATCCTGGCTGAGATTACCCCCATGAAAGGTTAGTGCTTTTTCTATGACTTAATCACCAGGTTCTTTTTCTTTAGATGTTCTCTCCTCTTGGATTGACCAAGTCCAGTTTTTTACTTTTAGGAAACATTGTAAAGTATTTACACATTGAACCCCCAATCAGAAGACTCCATTTATTTTGGCTATATAGTGATTGATTGATTTGGTGTTTTTGAGACAGGGTCTCATTATGTAGCCCAGGCTGGCCTTGAACTCAAAGACACCCTTCTTCCTCCCCCTCTTGAGTGCTAGAATTAAAGTCTGTGTCACCACACCCAGCTATAGATATTCTTAATTTTACAATTCCAGATTCTGATATTTCACTTAAAGCATACTTTGAGAAAGCATTTGGTTTTTATTTCCAGTTACTCAAATCATGTTTCAAAATGTTTAAATCATGCATATTTCATTTTATGCTGTTTTTCTCTTTTATCACATAGCCATGTGTATTAATCCATAGGCTATAGATCTCTGCAGAACACTCTGGAATCTCCACAGAATTTTCTTACAGCAGTGACATCATTTCTATTGCATATTATATGTTAATACTCTTTTGGCAAGTGCTTTTACTCTTATAGTATGCTGCCATTGAACAAAATGACTATTACCATACGCCGGTAATACAAATGAAAATGAAATTGTTCACAAAAATAAATCTCTATAGGAAACATACCTCACACATAGTGTTTTATGAGGTTCAAGTTTCAACAAAAAAAGATTCAGTTTGAAAAGTCTGAAATTGAGCTGTGAGAAACGACTCTAAATGTATAATTTACATGTTGAATATATAGCTATCTAATTACATAGCTATCTAATTGTCTAGCTATCTATTTAATTTCAAAGCTTAGTGTACTTTCTCTCCTGCCACAGGACTGTTCTGGTGGCCATAAATCCAAGAAGAATATCACTGCCAATTTTGTACCTTTTATTTAAATATGGAATTAAAATCTTTTTCTTTAGGTAGTTACCCACAGAAAAATAAGGCACCGATATAAAATTTAAATTGAGCCATTTGGCGATACAGGGCCCCGTGTAATGAGAAATATTTAAAATCCTGTTGAGTGCAGTTGCTTAGTAATGGAATAAGTTGGCTAGAAAAGAAAAAAAACTAGATTCTTGTTTCTGTGAAGACTTAGGCATAAATTTGGGCCTGTACTAGGGGACTTTGCAGAATATATTTTTTCATTGGAAGGGAGGTTGGACCAGCTGTACCCCACAATCCTTTCTAAGATTTTAATGCACTTCAGGCTCATTCTTTATACGGTTGGCCTTAATCTCAGAGGGCGTATAGTCATTGCGATGGGAGTATGTATCCTGAGTTGGGCAGCAGGGAAAAATCTGTCTCTCTCCTTGATGCCGTTAAAGGCAGGAGAATGAGTGGAGGGGGAGCTCCTGTAGCTGTAAAAAGCTCTTTATAAAAGCAATCATTAATTTCAAGTTTCTCCGCTTCCTACAGATCCTCAGCAAATGCTTTTTAATAGCACATAAGGATGATTTCAATACTGAGTTCTAGAGTTTGTTCTCTGCTAAAAGTGGAGAACAAACTGGCCATGTGTGGTGACACATACTTTGTGGGATCAAGTTGTTGAAGGTTTTCAACTTTAATTACAGCAGACAAGCCCTTGTGACCTGACGCCCAGATCATGATTCTCCCCTCTTGGGCTGACCTGACTGCCCATCCCCTGTCCCCTGTGACGTGCATCTGGTTGAAGAGGGAAATAGCTCCCTGGCTGCCAGTATCTGCCAAATGTCTGAGTAGTGCTCCCTTAAAATTCCCTGGAAAAGGGTCTCCTTGACCCAGAGTAAGTAGTTAACATTGTAGTTTGTTTCTGATCAACGGTAAGCTGAGCCTTAGCAAGAAAGGGACATAGGAAGGGATATTCTTATACTATCCTAGTCCATGTTTTTCTCCTCTTTGATCAGCAAGTCACAGATTTTTACCTTCAGACCTTCAGGGTCTTGATTTAGCATTCTCCACAGTGTACCCTCTTCCTTCCTGGAAAGGACATGTTATGAATACACTAGTACAAATGTAGCTTAATGTCTTGCTACTCTTAAGTATGTGCATTTCAAACTTTTGCAGATAGAATCAGCTGACAGCAGAAGTGCCTTACAATCCTTCAGGAAATTGTATCAGGCCAACCTATCTCCCAACCTGCCTTCTTTTAAGGTCTTAACCTCTAGCCTCATCCCCAAGATATCTGTCTTATTGCTTTCCTTCATTTATTTAATGCATAGTTATGGAGCTCTAATATGTGCCATGCCCTCGGCTAGGTTCCAAGGATACCACAAAGGCAAAGAAGGGTACCGTTCCTGCTTTTTGTTGTCTAATGAGAGATCCTGCCATCAGTCAAATAATCACATAAATAAATGTCAAGTTGTAATAGTGCTATTGCTACAGACGGGAAACAGAGTGCTCTGTGTGTATAACAGGAGAGTTTGGTGTAGCTGGTGGCCCCTCACGCATTCCTTGAAAAAGTTGGAGTTGAGCAGGATTAAGGGGAATTGTGGGACGTGTTTATTTCCCAGGACTGCCACAACAAAGCACCTGAACCAAATTGCTTCAAACAACAGAAATGGAGCCTTGGAGTTCTGGAGGTCAGGGTCTGAAATCGAGGCGCCTGCAGGGCTGTGATCTCCGGCCAGCGTAGGGAAGGGTCCTTTCGTGTCCTTCCCAGCTGCTGGCGTTCTCCAGTAATCTTCGGCGTTCCTTGACGTGCAGATGCACCACTCCAGGCACGTGGCTGTCTTCTCCTGGTGTCCAAGTCACCTTCTCTGTGTTCACATCTGTCCTGTCCGAAGTGCCCCTTTTGATAAGAATGTGGGCATAGCACGTTAGGGTCCACCTAATGACTTCGTTACCTCCATCAAGACCCCATTTCCAAATAAAGCACTGAGGGTTAGGGCTTTGATGACATATCTTTTAGGGTGTCATAATCCAACCCACACCACAGGTGAGGAGGAGAGGTATAGAAGAATCTTCTAGGTTGGGAAAGAGCACATGTGAAGGTCCTTTGGCCGGAGAAACATGGCCATCGTGGAGTAGAACGAGGTGTGGTGTGTGGGAAGCTGGAGACGGAGGAAAGATGAGGCCCTGCAGGATGGTTGTGGGTCTACTGGGATCTCTGTCTTTGTTGTAAAGGCGATGAAAAGTCACTGGAGAGCTTCAGCAGGAACAAGACATGGTCAGTTTGGTCCTTCGAAAACTGTGACAGTGGCTCCAGTGTGACAAGAGAGAATGTGGATGTGGTGGTCAGGAAGCTCTGACAAGAGAGCAGGAAGGAAAGGACGGGACACGAGGGAGCTGGTCACAAGAGGTAAAATCAGACACAGGGATGGGAGAGAATGGACAAGCATGAGTAATTCCTATGTTTTCGACTGGTTTGTCTGACTGGATGGAAGGGGGATTTACAGAGAGAGAACCAGGTTAGGACAAATTTTGTTGGTTAGTTTGGACATGTTGGGTCTTGGGCACTCTTCATGGAAACGTCAAATAAGCTTTAGTGGATCTGGCCCGTAGAAGACAGGTCTGAGCTGAAGAGGAATATTTATTTGTTTGTTTATTCATGGAGACAGGGTCTCACTATGTAGCCCAGGCTGGCCTCAAACTCCCAGTGATCCTCCTGCCTCAGCCTCCTGAGTTCTGGGATGACCAATGTGCACCACCACACGCAGCTAAGATCTGCAATTTCTGCACGCCCCTTCCTCCTCCTGTGTGTTTCTTCCAGTAACACTTTCAGCATCTGAGAAGCGGAGTCACTCCAGTGCCATCCTCATTTCACCCGACGGGCAGGGCAGCACTAGGCCCCCTCCCGAGTTTCCTGCTTGACTAGTCAAAGCGGCCTTCAGCATGCTGGAGGGAGGATCCCATGCTCCTCTTCTCTCAGAGGGTCCTCAGAACTCAGCAATGCAATGGCCCAGGACAGGGGCCCTTTGTCCTCTATTTGATGCTCTAATCTGGCAGCAGCTGTAAATATAACCCACACGTCAAGGCTTTATAAATCCCTTTTGATAACTGCTGTAGACTGAATGTCTGTATCCCCTCACAATTTGTATGTCGCATCCTAACTAGGAGGTCGGCCTTGGGGGATGATTGGGTCGTGAGGGTGGGGTCCTTATGAATGGCATTGGCTCTGTTGCTCCTTCACCATGTGAGGACACAGCCAGCTGACAGCTGTCTAGGCTTCCAGAAATGAATCCCCATCAGACACCAAGCATGCTCATCCCTTGATCTTGGACTTTTCAGCCTCCAGACTGTGAGAAATAAGCTCTCTTGTTTATTTTTATTTTATTTTAATTTTTTTGGTTTTTTGAGACAGGGCCTCACTATGTAGTTGAGACTGACCTGGAACTCACTGTGTAGCCCAGGCTGGTCTCGAACTCACAGTGATCCTCCTGCCTCAGCATCCTGAGTGCTGGGATTTAAACTCTCTTATTTATAAGCTACCAGTCTACAGTATTTTGTTACAGCAGACAAAACAAACTAAGATAGTTGGCTAACAGGTAAATTCTAAGACATGCCAAAATGGCAAAAGGGATGATCATTCACCCTTTTTGTGTGTATGTTACTAGGGACTGTATCCAGGGCCTTTGCACTGAGCTACATCCCCAGCCCTTTTGATTTTTTTCTTTTTCTGAGACAAGGTCTCACAAAGTTACTAAATTACTCAGGCTTGTGATCCTCCTGCCTCAGCCTCCTAGATTGCTGGGATTACAGGTGTGTGCTACCACACCCAGCTTCATTCCTGCTTTTTAAAATAAAACTATTCTTTCAAGGCAGTAAAAACAAATCATACATTTTTTTTTCAGACTCTGATGTAGTCTTAGTCTAATTTTTCTTTTTTTTAATAGGGCCTCTTGTTTTGGTGTCATTTTGGAGAGAAATTCTGAGTAAATAGAGGTGCTGAGTCCTTTAAAAACATGAAACAGCACACTTAAAGGTAAAAATAGACTAAAATCTTTCATACTTTTGCAATAAAATGTTGTGATTTAAGACAAGAGACACTGTACATTAATTAAGTGACTCACAAACACTCCTAGAAAAACATTCTGAGTACATTCAGGCTCACTTTTATTATGTGTGAATAAGTACTGTGGTAGATGCTTGGGAACATAAGAAATATTAATACTAATATTAGCATTAATTCCTACAAACATATATGAATTATATAGTGCCTCAAGAAAGATGGCATACTTTCTCTTGTTAACATTTCCTGAACCATGAGATTAGTTCACTCAAGCAGTTTCTTTTTAATTTACTTGATGGTATTTTTAGTTCACCTTATTTTATGCAAAATTATTTTTTCTGCAAATGATAATGATACTGTCCTGGCAAAACAACATTATTACCCGGACACCCTAAGCATGACAACTCGCTTCACCTCTTATTTCCATCTTTGATCACAGTTGCAGATCAGTTTCCAATAAAGATGGATTTCATTATCAAGTCTTTAAAGAAAAGCTGCCATACTTATCTGGATGAATAATCATTTTAGTTAGTTTATTGTTTTGGATTTGGTAAAACCCTTTAATGGATACTCCAGATAACCAAACAGAAGATGCTATTCTTTCATTTAACAAACATTTATAAGCTGGGCATGGTGGTGCACATTTGTAATCCCAATTCCTGGGAGGCTGAAGCAGGAGGATCACTGTGAAAAACCTGGACTTCATAGTTGAAGGCCAGCTTGAACTATACAGCAAGATGCTGTCTCAAAACACCAAAAACAAAGCAACAACAGCAACTATGAAAACAAAATATTTACTTGTCATCCACCATATGGCAAGCACCATGCACCCTCCACCTCCGTTCCTTCTTTCAAACCCCTGCTGAGCACTGTGTTAGACTCCAAGGAGCCCCTGTCTGGAGAGGCAGTGTCTCCACCTGCCTTCCTGGGCTTGCATTCTAGCTGAGGGGAGGTGTGTACATGAGTGTAGACCATGCATGCTTGAGGCCAGTGTGAAGAGAAAAAGATCAGAAAAAGCCTCACAGAGGAGAAGGTCTTGTAAAAGATTGAAAAGTGGAAGAGAAAGGTCTGGCTGAGTTGTAAAGATGCACAGGGTGGTTCATTCCAACAGCAACGCGGGAGGAAGAAGAGACGCAATGAGAGGACCCTGGGCAGGGACTAGCAATGGAGGGAGAGAAGACAGGAGATGCACAAAGTGGTAAAGAGAAGAAGCATCTCAATTCTTGGATCCGAGAAGCAGAGGAAATTAAAGGGGCCAGGAAGGCTGGGAGGACACGTGCTGATGCCGACCCGGGCCAGGGATGGTGTGGTACAGAGGAGAGGCTGGCTCTGAGACCTGGGGGCCCCACTTGAGCATGTGGAGTACTGAGAGCAGGGGAGAGTCTGGGCCAGAAATACAGGTTTGAGGTGCTACACGTAAATGACAGCTAGAAAAGAGCCTTGGGTTTCAGAGACTCTCGTTTTAATTATGACATTGACAGAGCCACCCTTTGATTTCCATTATTTCAAATTGTTCATCTCATAAAGCAACATTCCCTGCAATAATCACAGCACTGTAATGACCAAGTGGGGAATTTGCAAAATAGAATACTAAACTGGATGTGGTGGCGCACACCTGTAATCTCAGCTCTCAGGAGGCTGAGGCAGGGGGATCGCTGTGAGTTTGAGACCACTCTGGGCTACCGAGTGAGTTCCAGGTCAGCCTGAACTACATAGCGAGACCCTGTCTCAAACAAACAGTCAATATATGCATAGAGAAACCCCTGGGTCCTACCCCCAGAGGTTCTGCTATGGTAGCAGGGACACCCACTGAATATCCAGCCCCTCAAACTCAGCCCCATTTCTCAGCCCCTGGCAGTGGGTGGGATCAGGTGACGAGTTCTGACCAATAGATTGTGAGTAGATGTGACAGCAGTCACATCCTTTCTTCTTCCTTTGCTCCAGCTGCAGCAAGAGGCTTTGGTCACCAGGTGGTGGAGCCAAAAGGGAGAAGTAGCCTGCAGCCCCTACTTGAAGAATTTCCTAGAGGCCTCTGAAAAGCAGAGTGGACTTTGCAAGGAGCGGGGAATAAACATTTCAGTGTTCACTCGCTGAGGTTTTACAGTATGCCTGTTACTGCAGCATACCCTAGCCCGTCCTGATCAAGACAGCCTGTCCAGGGTAAAAGAAACCATTGCCCCAACAGAAAGTGGATGTACATTTAGCTCAGTGGTTCCACCGCCTGCCTTGCAAGTGCAAGGACCTCAGTTCAATCCCCTGTACCAAAAAGAAAAAAAAAAAAAGCCTGATTTCCAGACAGGCACTGTTGTCAGTCTGGTGCAGTGACCCATCCACCATATTTTGTGACTTGAGCAAACTGAGCACAGATGTCACAGGTACATTAAAAACTTTCCCTGAGCTGGGTGTGGTGGCGCAAACCTGTAATCCCAGCACTTGGAAGGCTGAGGCAGGAGGATCGCCATGAGTTTGAAGCCAGCCTGGGCTACATAAGTGAGTTCAAGGCCAGCCTGGACTATAGAGGGAGATTCTGTCTCAATAAAATTAAACAAAACAAACCTTTTTCAATGCCCTGAACATTAGATCTACCGTTGAACAGTGTGCCCTTCACCCAGACATGTTCACAGTAAATGTTATGGAAGGAAGCATGACTCAGCATCACTCACGTGTTAAGCACAGTTTGTTGAGCATTTACTATCGCAAGGCACAGTACTAGGTGCTTCATAGACTTTGTTCAAATTCACCTCCCTTGCGAGGTAAACAGGACTGTAGGAAGTTTAGAAGTGGTAGAGTGATTTGAACCCACATCTTTCTGATTCCAATCTTGTACTTTGACCTATAAA